GCTTAGAGGGCCTAGTCTGCAGTATAAAGACACTGCCAAATACAGCTAGAAATGCACAATCTGGAGAGGATAAAATTGATGAATGGGACCTTCTAAAGATTAAGTGCCTGTGTGCATCAAAACTGTTTTCCAACAGAGTGAAAAGAAAACCTACTGTCTAGGAAAAACGATTTGGCAATACCATTTCAGACAAGGGTTTTATATCAACAGTTTACAGAATACTACAGGGCCTCCACAAGAAAAAGAATGATCACTCATTGTGGTTTTGATTTGCATCTCGCTTATTGCCAGTAATTTTGAGCATTTCTTCATGTGTCTTTTGGCCATCCGAATGTCCTCCTCTGTAAAAAGTCTTTCCATGTCTTTTGCTATTTTGTAATTGGATTATCAGTCTTTTTCTTCTGTAGGCCTAGAAGTATTCTGTAAACTTTCATTATGAGACCCTGGCCTGGCCTAGATGGTATTGCCAAATGTTTGTTCCCAGTCAGTAGGTTTTCATTTTGAACGCCTGTGGAATGTGAGATGTGGGTCCTGTTTCAGCTTTCTGCAGGTAGCAGTCCAGTTTTGCCAACACCATTTGTTGAAGAGGTTGTCATTTCCCCATTTGATAGGTTTTGTTACCTTAATGAATATCAGTTGACCATAGATACATTAATCCATTTCTGAGTTCTCAATTCTGTTCCATTTGTCTATGTGCCCGTCATTGTACAAGTACCCTGCTGTTTGGGTTACTACTGTTGTGTAGTAGGTTTGTTTGTTTTTGGGTTTGGTTTTTTTATTATTATTAAATTTTATTAGTTTCAATGAACATTTACAGAGATTTTGGGTTTTCATTCATTCATTGTTGCACTGTTTTCTCCACCCTCCTCCCCAGTTCGTTCTTCTCCCCCTCCCCATGTCTGTTTTAATTGTCCATTTGCCACAGTGCTTGTCAAAGCCAGTTCTGATTAATCTCCTTTGTCAGTGTGTCCCTTGCCATTCCTAGGATTTTTAAGCTCTGTCTCAGATAGTTTTGACATGTGGCCAGGAGGGACTAATCCTTGGAGAAGGACATCATGCTTGGAAAGGTGGAGGGACAGCAAAGGAGAGGAAGACCCCAGATGAAATGGATCAATATAGTAATGGAGTAATGGGGATAGGTATGTCAAAGTCAGTGAGACGGTCACAATGAGTTGCAGGCGACTCAATTGGCACATAACAATAGTAATAACAATAAGTTACTTACTATGACCTAGGGGAAGATGGTAGTTAACTGTAATGGCTTTTTTCCCCCTTTATGAATTCAGTTATTTTGTTATTAACTCTCCAAACCATGTGCTTGGATCTGAGAGAAGGAAGGGTTTTTTTAAACAAGTATATTATTTTTATATAAATAAAATATTATTTATCTTTCATATAAATAAAAGTTGTGTGTATATATAATTGTTTGGTATTATAGATAACTCTTGAGCATATGGCTTGTTGTTGTTAGTTGCCATCTAGTCGAGTACAGCCCATAGCAACCCTATGAACAACAGATATGAACCCTGTTCTATCCTGTGCCCTCTTTATAACCTCAGACACACTTGAGCCCACTGTGTCAGTTCACCTAGTTGAGAGTCTTCTTTTTAACCATACTTCTACCTTTCCAACCATGATGTCCTTCTACAATGAATAGCCTCTTTTAGTAACATGCCCAAATATGCTTTATTGTCTTTGTCCCCAAGGAACACCGTGGCTGCACCCTCTCCATGGCAGTCCATGAGTTATTCAGTACTCTTCTCCAACAGTACAGTTCATAGGCATCAATTCTTCTGCCATCCTTATTCATTGTCCAGCTCTCAGCAGCATGGCAAATGATTGAAAACACCATGGCCTGAATCAGACATCTTAATCCTCAAACTTACATCATTGCTCCTCAATAATTTAAAGAGGTCCCTGACTGCCGACCTTCTCAGTGAAGTATACCTCCTGATCTTCTGACTGCAGGTACCAAGAATGTTGGTTTTGGATTCACACAAGATGAAGTCATTGACAGTTTCTGTCTTTTCTCCATCTATCATGATGTTGCCTATTGGTACAGTGGTGAGAATTTTCTTTTCTTGACGTTGAGATGCCATCCATATTGAAGGCTGCAGTCGTTGATCTTCTGCAGCAAATGCTTCAAGTCCTCCTCCATACAACTAAGGAAGCAAGGTTGTGCTGTCTGCATAATGCAGGTTATTGATGAGTTTCCCTCCAAACCTGATGCTACATTCTTCTTCATAAGAGTCCAGCGTCTCAAATAATTTGGTCAGCATACAGATTGAATTGGTATGGTAAAATGATAGAGTCCCTGACGCACACCTTTCTTAAGGTTCACCTTAACCCTGATGTTCATTTTCTTAACGTGTTCTTGCTCTGTTCACACAATAGCCTCTTGATCTAGGTATATGTTTCTCATGAGCCAATTAAGTGTTCTGGGATTCCCTTTCTTCTCATTGTTAGTCATAATTTGTTACGCACCCTAGTGTCAAATGCCTTTGCATAGTCAATAAAGCCAAAATATACATTCTTCTGGTACTGTATACTTTCAACCAGGATCCATCTGATTATCAGCAGTGATATCCTTGGTGCCACAGCCTCTTAGCTTAAATTTATAGCAGTTCTCTGTCTTGCCGTTTTTTATGCTCTTCAGTATTATTTTGCTTGCATGGGATATTTGTTCGATAGTTTCCACATTCCAGTGTATCTCTTTTAGGGAATAGGAACAAATAGGAATCTTTTCCAGATTTCCTGCAGATTATTTTTTCCTCCAGATTTTCTGGCATTGACTGACTAGTGAGCACATCCCAAGCTACATCTGTCATTTAAAACATGTCATTTGCTTTCTGGGCCTTACTTTTGGCTGATGCCTTCACTGCTGCTTGAACTTCTTCCTTCATCACTGTTGGCTCTTGATCATATGGTACTTCTAGAAATATTTCAGTGCTTGCTAATTCTTTGTAGTGTAGTGCTTCTGTATATTCCCTCCATCTTCTTTTGTGTCGTTTAGTGGTAAAGAATTGTGCTGACAACACAGAAGTACATGGTTCGAATCCACCAGCTGCTCCACAAAAGGATGAACAGTCTCTTCCCATGGGATTTACTGCTTCTGAAAACCTATTGGAGGCTCAGCAATGGGTTGATTCACAACAACATAAATATTAGTACTTATTTCAAATTATCAGGGATTATGTCTAGGGAAAAAAGATATCTAGAAAAGTACTTGACATTTTCTGTTGTTTCTCCTACGATGATTTAATGAAAAGGAAAAAAATACTCTACTTAAGGACTTTATCTAACTGTGGCCTTTTTGATTCTCAGTTTGTTTACCTAGATATCCGTTCTTTAAATTTTTTTCTTTTGTTAATTAAGGCAACCATCACAGAATTTAAGTGGTTTTACTTTCATTTTAATGTTATGTAGAAATTAAGTGTGGAATAATTGATAGAAGATTCAGGAAAAGTTCCAAAACAACTATGAGATATCATCTCATCCCAGTAAGAATAGCAAAACTTAACAAAACAGCAAACAACAAATGATGGCAAGGTTGCAGAGAAACTGAAACCTTTATTCACTGTTGGTGGAAGTGTAAAATGGTGCAACCACTTTGAAAGGCTATATGGCACTTTCTCAAAAGGTTACAAATAAATATACCATTTGAGCTAGCAATTCCACTTCTGGGAATTTACCCTAAAGAAACCATAACCGCCACCCAAGCATATATATAGCACACCCATGTTTATTGCAGCTTTGTTCACAAAAGCAAAGAGCTGGAAACAACCCAAGAGCCCATCAATAAATGAATGGATAGAGACGCTCTGGTATATTCACACATGGAATACTATGCAGCACTGAAAAACAAGGAACTCATGAAATACTATGCTAAGTGAATGACCCTAGAGAACATTATGCTGAGTGAAATATCTCAGTCACAAAAGGACAAATATTGCATAGGACCACTATTGTAAAACAGGACTGACATTGGGGTTGCGGGAAAACAGAGAAGAAGAGGAGGAATGATGTATATTGCATTGCAACAAATGAGGGAGAGAACTATTTTAAAGGGATATATGATTATGTATTATTTTCATGACTGGAGTCCAGAATGAAGGCTGCACAGAGCAGTGGACTTGCTTAGCAATGAAAGAGTTTTTCTTTTAGTCAACAAGGAGAAAAGTGAATTGCAGGGGCGGGGGAGGAGTGGGCAGGGAGAGAAGTGCAACAATGAATGAATGGAAACCCTAAGTCTCTGTAAACTTTCATTAAAATTAATTAAAAAAAAAAAGGATGAACGAGCCATAAAGAAAGCAAAAAAAAAAAAGATTCAGGAAAAGTTCAAATTTTATTTGAACATATTTTGAAATGTCACATTGTTATTTCATATTTATTGCCCATACTTCCAGCTCCACATGTAAACATTATCTTGTGTAGAAAAGGCCAGCTTTACATGCATAAAGAAGCTCTAGTGGCTAATCACCAGAGAGTTGGTGGTTCGAATCCATCAGAGGCTCTTGAGGGAAAAAGATGGGCAACATCCTCCTCGGAGATTTATAACTGCAGTAGCTCAGTATATAGGGTCATCTCTGAGTCATTCCAACTAGCTGGCACTGATGATTTCAATTATATTAATTTCTTTTTAAAATAATTTTCCTTTTTTTTCAAGGCTCAAAATCTGAGAATCTGCCTTTACATTTGAGGCACACATATTTAACTGCTCAATTCCTTTGATGTGAGGATTCCTTAAAATGCCAGGTCATTTGATTTTAACATCTAAGTCCGATAATTATATTTAAGTAAACTTAGTAGAGAATTTAAGATGTTTCATTTCAAAAGGTCTTACTGAGTTTTTTCTTTTGTGGGGTTTTTTTGGCAATGTTAAAGGAAGTCCTAAATTTTCAAGAACAAGTTGTACTAATGTGCAAAAAAAATCTCTTCCTCCCTATCAAGTATTTGAAAATCTCAGTGAATATAATTTTATTTTCTCCAACATTTTCTAGAGTTATTCTCCAGTCCAGTGTTCAGAGCTGTAAAACATCTGAACTTAACATTTCTGGAAGTGAAGGGATTTCTAAAAGAAGCTCCAGATCTGCTTCAAGAAAAAGCAATTTTAAAAGGTGAGGGGAAAAGAATTCTATTCTTCTGAAAAATTCAAAGCATTGGTTTTCCAGCTTAATCATTTAAACACTAATTCTAGAGACAGAAATGAAGATAGGTGGAAGTAGAGTACTTGTGATAGGAAATAAATATATTTTCTAATTCGTCTTTGGAAGAATCTGGACTTTCATTTGATGTTTCTTCTTAATTTTTTTTTTCCACAGAGATAACTCTCAAAATTGTGAAAACATGGTAGAGTTTAGAATGTTTTAATTAGAGATATTTCTAAACCTCTTTGTCAGGATTTGAAGGAAGTATTGTTATCTTTAATATAGCAAAATGTTGGAAAATTTGCAACAAATCAGTATGACATTAGAAATATGGTAATTCCGGTGAATTTGGTGATATTGTTTTACCTATTGACTATTTGTCCTATTATCTACACTGCAGAAACAAGAGTTTTGTTTCTTTTAGGTTATCATCCTTCACTTCAAGAAGTTGTCTTCGACATGAAAATGAATATGGCCTATGACCCAGCCAGTTATTTACTGTTACCTTTAGATATTTATCATAAACTGAAGGCAATCATTAAATTTCTAAAGTACTACAAACACTAGTTCTTTTATGAGATAAGAGTTTTTGTTGTTATTGTTATGTGCCATAAAGTCACCTGTGACTCATAGCGACCCTGTGTACAATAGCTCTGCAGCCTGCCCTGTCCTGATCCAATCTCACTTACTCTGATACACCTACCCCCATTCCCCTAGTTACAATATCAATCCATCTCATCTGGGGTATTCCTATCCTGAACTATCCCTTCACATTTCTGAACATGATGTCCTGCAAGGATTGATCTCTCTTGGCCACATGCCCTTGAGTATGTGAGAAGAAGTTTCAAAATCCAAGCCTACGAGAGGAACTTGGTTTCACCTTCTCCAAGACAGACCTATTTGGTTTTTTTGGTGGTCCATAGTATGCTCAAGACTCTTCTCCAGTACTACCACTCAAGGGCATCAATTCTTCTATCATCCATAGTTATTATCCAGCTCTCTGATGCACAGCAAGTAATTTGAAGACCATAGACTGGATCAGGTGCACCTTAGTTTCTAGGCTGGCATTGTTGCTTCTCTGAACTCTAGAAAGGTCCCTGACAGCATATTTGCCTAATGCAGTTCACCTTTTGATTTCCTGACTGCTGGTGCCAGAAGTGTTGATTGTGGAGCTGAGCAAGCTGTAATTGTTAACAACCTTAATTTCTTTTCCATCCATCATGGTGCTGCCAGTTAGCCCAGTGGTGAGAATCTTTGTCTTCTTGATATTGAGCTTTAATCCATATGGAAGACTACAGTCCTTGAACTTCTACAGCAAGTACTTCAGGTCCTCCTCAGTTTCAGCAAGCAAGGTTGTGTCATCTGCATGATGTAGGTAGTTGATGAGTCTTTCTCCAATCCTGATGCCACATCCCTCCTCTTAAAGCCCTGCCTCCCAAATGATCAGTTCTGCATATAGATTGAAAAGGTATGGAGACAGGACACAGCCCTGATGCATTCCCTTTCTGATTTTGAACCATGCAGTGTTTCCCTGCTCTCTTATGAGGACTGTTTCCTGGCCCAAGTATAGTCTCAAGGGTAAAAGGTAGGTAACCTTTTCATACCTTTGCATGATTTTAGAAACTTGTATTTTTTTGTGATAAAAATTATTTCTTACCCAAAGGGAACATCTCTCTGGTAGTTCAAATCCACTAGAAAGAAAGATGGCCTTTATGCTTTATTTTTACTCTCTAAAAACCTGCTGGAGGGTCAGCTATGATTCCGTTCCAAATAGACAATGAGTTTGAATTATCTCTGAATATAACTGTAACTATAAGAGGCCTGAAAATAATTAGAATGAGAATTTTCAAATGTCGTCCCTCCCAAATTTTCCTTCTTTTTAACTTCACTGCCCACATGCCTTGGAGATTTTTGACCTACGTTGTGTTCTTGTCTAATTCAATTCCAGAAGCGGACTATATGCTTTGCTAGACATATGATTCTAGAAAACTCATTGACAAACTTACTATTGCTGAATACTTTGTGATTCTTTTTTTTTTTTTTAGGAATTGTGGGGGGGTTTTGTTCTGTCATTTTCTTTTTTGATACTTTATTTGCACAGTTTTACTACATATTTAATATATTAATGATATAGTTTGAAAGTTTCCACATTCTGTTGGATCACCTACAGACTTCTTCCAACACACTGGTCAGATAGCTGTCCTTCAAATTTCCTAGTGTAGACTGGTGAGCACATCTAAGGCTTCATGTATAATTAAAACATGTCAGTTGGTATTACATCGATTCCTGGGGCCTTAGATTTTGCCAGTGCCTTCAATGCAGCTTCCACTTCCTCTTTCATTACCATCGCCTCCTGTTCATGTGGTACTTAGGTGGAAACTATTGAACATCATTAATATCACATGTGAGCAAAATACTACTGAAGATCATTAAAAATGTCTAGAACACTATGTAGATAGGGAACTGCCAAAAGTTCAAGCAGAATTTAGAAAAGAATGTGGCACCAGGGATATCACTGCTGATGTCAGATGGATCCTGGCAGAAAGTAAAGCATGCCAGAAGAATGTCTATTTATGGCTTATTAACTATGCAAAGGCATTTGATTAACAAGCTGTGGCTAACATTGAGAAGAGTGAGAATCCCAGAGCACTTAATTGTGCTCACATGTAACCTGTACCTAGACCAGAAGCTATTGTGCAAACAGAGCAAGAGTTTAAAATTAAGAAAGAGATGTGTCAAAGTTGTATTCTCTCTTCATACCTATTCAATCTGTATGCTGAGCAAATTATTAGAAAAGCTGGACTCTATGAGGAGGAATGTGGCATCAGGACCAGAGAGAGACTCATTAATAATCTGCATTATTCAGATAACACAATCTTGCTTTGTGAAAGTGAGGAAGACTTGAAACACTTATTGCAGAAGGTCAAAGAATATAGCCTTCAATATGGATTGTATCTCAAGGTGAAGAAAACAAAGATTCTTACCAATGGACTGACAGGTAACATCATGATAGATGGAGAAATGATTGAAACTGTCAACAACTTAATCTTGAATTCACAATTAACATCCCCAAGGATGGGGATCAGCGGTTGGGAAATCAGGAGACATATTGCACTGGGAAAGTCTGCAGTTAGGGACCTCTCCAAATTGTTGAGGAGTAATGATGTTATTTTAAATATTAAGGTGCATTTGATTCAGGCCATGGTCTTTCTGATGTGTTATGCATCTGAGAGCTGGATAATGAATCAAGATGACAGAAGAATTGATGCCTTTGAGCTGTGTTGTTGGAGAAGAACGCTGAAGATCTCATGGACTGCCAGAAAAAAAACCCCAACAAATATGTCTTAGAGAGGGCTGGAGTGCTTTTTGGAGGCAAAGTTGATGAGGCTTCACCTCACATACTTAAGGCATGTTGCTTGGAAGGGGCTATTCCTTGGAGACGGACATGACGCTTAGAAAGGTAGAGGGTCAGCAAAGGAGAGGAAGACACTTAGCCAGGTGTATTGACATGGTGACTGCTGCAATGGGCCATAATGTGTCAGGAAGTGTCAAGTTGGTACAGGATAGATAGAGGGTTCAGATCTGTTGTTCATAGATTGTTATGGGTTGTGCTCAACTCGATGGTACCTAATAACAATAATAACTACATATTTATACTTACTTGAGAATACGGCAATGTTTTAGTTAGTACTCCAAGTATTTGAAAATTGGTTATTGACTAATGATTGTAGAATTTTAAATTTTTCATTAAAAATGTCATAGTCATCAAATAGTCATATACTTTTCACTTTCTAATTCAAAAGCAATGGAGGAATGCTAACAAAAGCTTAATGATTAATGATAATTTAGCATATCATGACATTGTCATTTATAATAGGAACAAGAAAAAGACTAACATTTCTAAATTGCCTCAAATGAATTGAATTGGGAATTCTGACTTTGCTAAGTTAAAAGGCCTGGTGGCTTAATGGTAAGAATCTGTGCTGCAGTCCCTAAGCCTTGCAGTTCTAATCCACCAGCTTGCTTCATGTGTTCTCTCTTCATGAATAGGTAGTCTCCTCCGATGTGATTTACTGCTTCCAGAAACCCTCTGGAGGGTCAGCTATGGCACACAACAGCAAATGCTCAAGAAGCAATAAGAGAAAAGAACCATGAAGACAAATAGGACAAAGTATACCACAATATTAACAGTACTTGTGTCTGGGTAGTGGAACAATTTGAAATTTTTTTCAATTATTTGTTTTTTATTTCCAATTATATGAAACAAGTTCAAAACCAGCAGCTGCTCCATAGGAAGATAGATAATCCTCCTGTGCAATTTGCTGCCTCTGAAAACCCACTGTAGGGTCAGTTATGAGTCGTTTCTGATTTGATGGTACATAGATAGCTAATCATTGTTGTTAGGTGCCACTAGAATTGGCACTAACTCATTATAATCTTTTGAAAGCAGGACTGGCATCCACTTCCTAAACAACATGCCTCTGGGAACTCTATGAACTTTGATAAATGACTGTAGTTATAAAAAGGATTCAGGTCTTTTGTTTATAGGGTTCCTATTAGTAGTGCTCAATTCAATGGCAATCAACAACAACATAAGAAACTGGGGAGAGTGTTGTTATGTGGCATCAAGTCAGAACTGACTCATAGCTGCAGTCCCAAGGATACACGGTTTGAATCCACCAGCTGTCCCGCAGGAGTTGTTGTTGTTGTTGTTATGTGCTGTCAAGTCATCTGTAACTCATAGCAACACTATGTACAACAGCCCTAAACCCTGCTCTATCCTGTGCCAATTTCACTGCCTCCGACACACCTACACCCATTACCCCAGTCACTGAATCCACCTGCATCCTCTCCTGCACTGTCCCTCCACCCTCCCAAACATGACATCCTTCTCCAAGCACTGGTCCCTTCTTGCAACATGCCCATAGTTGTCAGACAAAACTTCAGAATCTTTGCCTCTAAGGAGCGGCCTGGTTTAACCCTCTCCTGGATAAACCTGTTTGTTTTCTTAGCAGACCATGGTATATTCAATACTCTTCTCCAACACCACAGCTCAAAGGCATCAATTCTTCTTCTATCCTCCCTAGTCATTGTCCAGTTCTCTGATGCATAGCAAGTGATTGCAAAGACCATGTCCTGTATTAGGCACATCTTAATCTCCAGAGTGACATCATTTCTTACTTCATTCAGTACCCTAACAGCAGACTTTCCCATCGCAGCGCATCTTAATTTCTTGGCTGTTGATGCCAAGAGTGTTGACTGTGGAGTCAAGCAAACTAAAGTTGTTAACAATCTGAATCTCTTCACTATCCATCCTGATGCTGCCATTTGGCCCAGTAGTGAGAATCTTTGTCTTCTTGATGTTGAGACTCAATCCATATTGAAGGCTGCAGTCCTTGACCTTCTGCAGCAAGTGCTTCAGGTCCTCCTTAGTTTCCGCAAGCAGGGTTATGTCATCTGCATAATGCAGATTATTGATGAATCTTCTACCAATCCTGATGTCACATTTTTCATACAGACCAGCCTCCTGGATAATCTGTTCTGGATATAGATTGAAAAGGTATGGAGATAGGACAAATACCTGGTGGATGGGCAATCTCCTTCCATGTGACTTACTGCCTCAGAAAACCTGCTGGAGGGTCTGCTGTGGGTCAGTTCTAACTTGGCAGTACTCAACAGCAACAGCTTACACATTTATGTCTGTACATTTTAGGATATGGGGAAAATAGAATCAAAGAACTAGTATCAAAAGTTGGCCATCTATGAGTTTTGCCAGACCTTCTAGGTCTTGTTGCTTTTTCCTCTCATTCTAGAATCTAAATCTATGCTTTTTAGAATAAGCAGTTCCTGTTTGTAATGAGCATCTATCTGAAGTCCCTGGACATAATGCTTTGAAGGGCTGAAAATAGATTTCATACTGAATTAATATATCTGATGAATGTTGAAATGGCCCAGAGCAGTTTCCAGGTATTTGAGGTGGTGTTTAAAATAATACAGCTTCTCTTAAATTCCAAAATGAGCTTTCAGAGGAGATTTAAGAGAGGCAGAGAAATAAAACAGTGAAACAGTTTTGAGTTCCATGATACACAGAAAGCTCTGTGATTTCCTTTACCTCTTTCTGAGCTTTGATTTATGTGCACACCACCATAACAGGGGTCTACCTATAACTCACAAAATAAGGGAAAAGTAAGCTATGTCATTTCTGGCTACCTGCTTCTTAGAGAAAAATGGAAATAGGAGGCAGGCATGCTGGAACCTGAAATTTTTATCATGCCGAATATTTATTTTTGATGGAGGTTGTTGAGAGAATTAATACATTCATGCATAATCTTAATTCAGGCCAAAACAGTGTAAGAGTTAAAGTTGCTAAAGTAATACTAAAATTGCAATCTGTTCTTCAACAGCCATACAAAGGTACACCTTTTCCATACACTTTCATAAATATTTGAAGGACCCGCACTACAGGGTCTGCTCTGGCATGTTCCTATTGTGAAGCCTTCTCTTTTGCAGGTTGCAAAAGGATATGGATGCGTCGTCTCTATCCACACTTCTTACAACTTTAATATTTCATTGTATTCTATTCTTAAAGTCTTACAGGATGAAGACCTTGACCTGAATTCACATTGTGTTGAATTGGCTATCTTTGGAATTTTTTTTAATATGAAACACTTTATGAATTTGTATGTCATCCATGCACAGAGACTGTATACTAATCTATGTCATTACAATTTTAGTATATGTGCTGCTGAAGTGAGCACAATCTGTGGATTTTTGAGAGTTTACAGGGAAGCTCTACAAAATTAAAATTTTCTAAAAAGAGCAGTTATTTATTGTGTGAGGTGAAAGGAAGAGTATATTATTATTTTTTTTAGAAAGAAATATCACCTTGCTTTTCATGACAACTGATGAGATCCTGATATGTCCAATCAGATGGAAAAAAACCACATGCCCTCCTGAGCCATGTGTGACAGAAGCTTTGTTGGAGTATATGTAGCACTTCAGGCTCAGTGGACACACGGGCTTGAATTGCCACATGCAAGTGATAGTTAATGCTGATGAGGGTCTTTGGATCACTTTCTACATTCTGTTTCTCAAGTCAGAGAAGGTAAATTAGTGGACTTATATTGTTGTTGTGTACTGTCCTGTCAGAACTAATTCATAGCTGACCCTCCAGAGGGTTTTCAGAAACAGCAAATGACGTGGGAGGAAACTATCCATCCTTCTTTGGATCCAGCTGGTGGATTCAAACCATATGCCTTTGAGAATACAGCACAGCTTTTTACCACTAGGTCACCAGAGCTCCCTAGTTCCTATTATAATAGACATACATTATGGGGGTAAATTAATATGCTCCTTGTAGAACAATAAATTCATTTTTATGTTTATTTTCAAAGAGCAAGTAAATTCAGTGAATTACTGCCTAAATAGATATACCTTGGTTTTTGTTGTTCTTACTTTAACTTTCTAAAAATCTCTCGGAAAAAAACAAAACTGAAAATATCATAATGCCTCAGTTGAGAACATACAGTTACCTCACTTGATAATATTCAATTCTGTTCCTGTCTACTTAGATCTTTTACTTAGCACTCAAGAACCCTAGTGGTGCAGTTGTTAAGAGCTTGACTATTTCCCAGTAGTTTAGTGGTTCAAACCCTCCAGCCATTCTATAGTAAACAGATGTGGCAGTTGGCTTCTGTGAAGATTATAGCCTGGCAAACCTTATGGGACAATTCTGCTTTGTTCTAATAAGGTCAGTGTGATTTGGCATCAACTTGGTGGCAGTGAGGTTTTGGTTCTATTTGCATATATGTATCTTAGGCCTTTTCCCCCTCTTTTTAAAACCATAAAACCATTAGATTTCTAAGAAAACTCATGAAAGTACCTAAAACTTTTCATTTCAAGTTCAACATTAAGAATTATCGTTCTGCTACACCTTCCAAGCTAAATAAACTAATGGTCATTGTTTTGAGATTTGTTGTACCTGATTATTGCTGTGGTAGGAGAAGAGGAATACTCAAGTTCTTTTTTTATTCCCTAAGCCACAAGTCTTTGTATGAGCCCTTCACTTGTAATAAACAACTGTGTCTTTTTTTTTTTTTTTGTGACTGTGTCTTAAAGAGTTACTGGACCTTTTTTGTCTTCTCATTTGTACCTATTACAATTTCTTCTTCTTTCTTAGATTTTGTTGTTTGCTCCATCACTTCTGGGACTTAAGTGTTTTTCTTATTGCTGTTTCCAAATGTGTATTAATGTAGGAACTCTATAGCATTTTTTTCTTTAAATAACCTTTTAAAAATGCTGTGATCTTTTAAAATATTAGTCTTCTTTGAAATTCCAAATACTTCCTCCTTTGGCTTCACCAGTCACCTTAGACTTTGTATACCCAATACTACTCTACCTGATACCTTATTGGTGTCTTTTAAAACTAAATGATCAATTCAAATGAGACTAGTCTGAAAGAACATCATTATCATCTAACTGAAGGTCACCTCTAGATTTGAATTTTTTAAATAACCCTTCTTTTGCTTTCGTTTTCTCTGAAAGTTACTATATAGTTGAAAGGTAAGGTGGTAAACTAAAAAAAAAAGAAAAAATGGGTGAAAATCAGTCATTTCTTTCTGAACAGAGAAGAGCTTTTTGAGTATCTTTGTCAGATGTGTTGTGACTGCATCATGTTTAGGAGTTGGTAGTAAAGTGCATGGTAAGGAAGATGAGAGTAGGTGAGGGGATATTGTACACTCAGCTAGACTGGACATGGTTGAGATGCTAATGCTTTTCCTGACTTTTGAAATAATCAAGTAACACTTCTTTATCTTCTCTTTGTTTCTAATTTTCCCACAGCCTCGTTCCTCAGAGGGAAAGAAGGAAAAGGAATGTCTTGCAACAAATGCCTTTACTGGCTTATGGTACTTCCACTGCACTGATGCTTCTGCTCCCCTCCCCTTCTTTTTTTAAAAATTGTATTTCTTTTTCACTTTTTTCAGAACTAAACTTGTTCTGCTCTACATTATACTCATTTGTATTGATAACTGCATTATATTTTGCAAGATTTTTATCATTAAAAATTGTTCAAAGTGTTATTATTACTTTTATAGCATGTAATATTAAAATACTATTATTTTGCCTTCCTAATCTTTGACAACTGTGTGTGAGATATTTTAAAATCTTCATGGTAAACATCTTTTCGCCCCCTTCTGTAGTCACTCCATTTCAAGGACTAACACAATCTTGCATTAAATAAAAAAACCTGTGACCAGAACTGGACGAAGACTCTAGGAACAGAAAACTACAATAAGACTTGGCACAATTTATTTGAAAACAAAGCAAAATTGCAAAAAAAGCCTTAGTTTTTTTATACCTAACAAGTTGGGTGTTTGTTTTTTTTTTCACTGAAGAATATGCCCATTGGAATTTAAATAGCTAAATGATATTGGGTACAGCATGTGACTTGAAGGGCCCAGCTCTCTTTTTGTAGAAATGTCTAAAGTGCAACAATAATACAGTAGTAAACTTACCCTCAGGTGTATATGTGAAAGACCTATGCTATCACAAATGCTTCCTTGTCTGTTTGGTGCATGAAAATCCCTTGTGATGGCAATCATTTTAATTGCTGGTATTCAGTGGGATCTGATGAAAGTTTTTTGCATATTTACTTTCTGTTCATCTTATGTCCATGGGTCAAAATTTACAAAGATAAAGGAGGCATTATTAAAATGGTACTTTTGTAATTTAATACAATTCAGTTTAATCATCTTGCATCATCTTATTCCTTTAAATATCATTTGGTGACTGAAGAAAGCCAAGACTGTTTACTATTTGGTTTCTTAGTCATACAAATATAAATTCTTTCATTTTTTTGGGAAAAAACCACATGCATTGTTGTTCCCCCTAGGAAACAAAGACCCTAAATAATGGTAATTTATTTGTCAAGCTTTATTGCTTTAGATGAGGTCTTTTTCAGGGATTGTTTTTATGTGATCAGTCTATGACCATAATGACACCTTTTTATTTCAGTGACATTTGTTTGCATCTTGATCTCCGTTGTTTGTAATTACAATAACTCACTGTTGCCTTTGGCTAGGGAATTCAACTAGTAAAACTCTTTGTAGGGTGCCTTCTTACCTCAAGCCTATAGAAACATGGCAGAGTTTGTGATAGAAAGCAATTACCAAAAAACCCTCAATTTATTTGCTATCAGCAAAAATTAGGGTCTAATGAAGTTTATAGTCCTTGGTTTTAGTCCTGGGTCCTTGATCCACTTTGAGTTGATTTTTGTATCTTGTGTGGGTCTTGTTTGAGTTTTCTATTTTGCCAACAATATTTGTTAAAAAGGCTATCATTTCCCCACTTAACTGATTCAATCTCCTTATAAAAAATCAGCTGACCATAGGTAGTTGGGCTTATTTCTGGGTTCTTAGTTCTATTCCATTAATCTGTGTGTCTGTCATTGTACCAGTACCATGCTGTCTTTACCACCATGGCAAACTAGTAGGATTTGAAATCAGGGAGTGAGATGCCTCCTACCTTTTTAAGGAGTGTTTTTTTGCTTATGCTTTCCATTCCAAATGAAATTGAAGCTCACCTTTTCCATTGCGTTGAAGAATGGAATTGGTATTTGTATTGGGATTGCATTGTCTTTGGTAGAATTGTCATTTTCACAATATTGAGTCTTCCTATCAATGAGAAAAGCATATTCTTCCATTTCTCCAGGTCACTTTTTGTTTCTTCTAATAATGTTTTGTAATTTTCTTTGAATAGATCCTTTGTGTTTCTAGTTAGATTTACTCCCAGGTAAACCTTGTTAGAGAAAAGCTTAGAAGAAGCCTGGAAGTATTAATCTACAACATGAACAGTCTTCCAGGCATCCTGAAAAACCTACAACCAGGAGAGGATAAAATAGATTTAAGAATCAAATCCCTTTGCACATCCAAAAACAACTCCAACAGGGTGAAAAGGGAAGCCAAAGACTGGAAAAATCTATTTGGTAATGACATGTCTAATAAAGGACTTATCTCTATAATTTATAGAATACTCAAGCACCACAGCAAGATAAAAGTAAACAGCACAATTGCAAAATGTGCACATACATAATATGAACAGACACTTCACCAAAGAAGACATTCAGATGGCGAACAAACAGGACAAAGTGTTCTAAATCGCTACCTCTAAGAGAGATGCAAAACAAAACAACTATGAGGTACCATCTTACCCCAATAAGAATAATTCAACAGAGCAGCAAACAACCAGTGCTGGTGAGGTTGTGGAGAAACAGAAACCCTTACTCACTGTTGGTGGGTGTGTAAAATGATGCGACCACTATGGAAGGCAGTATGACACTTTCTCAAAAAGTTGGAAATAGAAAGAACTACCATTTGACCCAGCAATTCTACTATTGGAAATATACCCTAAAGAAACCAGAACTGCCACCCAAGCAGATATATGCACACCCATGTTTATTGCTGCTTTGTTCACAATAGCAAAGAGTTGACAACAACCCATTTGCCCATGAACAAACAAATGGTTAGAGAAGCTGTGGTATATTCAATGTAATATTATGTAGTGCCACGGGCTGCTTCAGTATGGAGGGGCTTGTAAGCCTGAGGTCTAGGGTCTCGAAGAGGGAACGCAAAGGTGGGTAGAAGTTCAGCGAAGGGACGATGAAAGAACACAAGACAAACAGTCAAACGATCTTGATGATTTTAATTCTAAGTCATTCTCATTATTCTTCTTTCTTATTCCCTACTTATTGCATTTAGCATGATACATTTATATCCCATTTTTGCAATTAGTGGCTTAATCAACAGCCAAAAAGACAACAAAAGTAAGAATAAAGTTTACATTATTTTTTTGTACACAGCTATTTTTTATGGTCACGGTTCCTTGGTAATTGGAGAGCTTGGTAGACAATAGCTTTTTCCTTAAACATTTTCTTTTTAAACCTGTTTTTAAACCTGTTCTTCAACTTGTTTGGGGTACAAAGTTACAAAATAAAAAAGTTACATTTTAAATTTAAGCTGATACATTTTACATTTTTAGCTGAATTTACAATATTATTTATTTCCATTCAAAAGACAATAATTTTACACTTTCCATTATTCCAGAGGTGATCACTATCTTAATAAGGGGGTTTAGGTTCATACAAAGGATGTTTTGGGTCATAATATTGCCTAAATTCATCATCCCAATCTAGGGTCTCATGATCTATTTTACCACCTATACCTCACATAACATCTTTCCTTTGGTTACTTTCAAACCTTTTGAAAAATATATCCCAAGACACAAAACCCAGCAGGGTGTTTTGAATTAAATTCATCATATTTTCCAGTATATGGAAGAGGTTTATTTGTAGGCTCTTGAATTATGTAAGGGCCTTTCCCAATAGAGGGCTGCACAAACAACCATTACCTAATAGATAAACAATTGTTCCACTTGGTGTTCTCATGGTGGGGGGCAAGGGTTTGGTTTTATTCCTTGAAGGAGTTTTAGTAATGCTAAAAGAACCGGAGTTAATGTTTGTGTATTAAAGTAGTCACCTCCATTTAGTTCTTTCCTGGAAACATTTAACAAAGTTTTAGTAAAAACACTTTGTGTAAACAACACAGCTATTCCCCCCTGTCCCACATAGAAAACACAAAGAGACAATAGAAGAGAAATTACAGAAAGGCCAAGAACAATCATGGAGAAAGCACACGTTCGAAAAGGCTGACATCCTTGAAGTTTTCGCCTCAATCGGGTACATTTTGTCACGCAGACTCCCTTGGAGTTGGTGTGGCAA